GAAACCAAAGCTACCCTTTCAAGGGCTGCCTATGTGCTTTAGAACAATTTAAGAAGTGCAGGTTGTACTTTTATTTATCAACTCTTCCGAAAACTACTCTACTTCTTTAAGTAGTAGTCAAGGACATAGAATCAAGAGCACAGAGAGACAAAATGTATTAGTGCCTTAATTTAGAAGTTAAATAAATTTTGTCACAGGGCTGGGGAGATGGCTCCATTGGTAAAGTGCTTGCTGTGAAAGCCTGAGGCCTGAGTTTTACTTCCAGAAACCACATAAAAAGCCAGGCCTGATAGTGCTGCAGTTGGCACGTTGGTTGTCTATCTAGGGTTGATCCTGGGCTCATTCTTTCACCCAATTAAATAATTAAAAGGCAAAAAAATCTCAGAGCAGCAGAGAACAAGAAGCAGCAAGCAGATAAGAGAGCGAAACAGCGAGGTCACCTTATGGCCTCTTAGTGCAGTTGTGGTGCCACATGACTATCCATATTGGTATGGCTGGCAAAATGTCTCGTTAGTGCTGGTGTCATAGCCGCGTGGCTTGTTAGTGGTCGTATGGTTATCTATGTGACCTGCTGGTGTTGGTGTGGCTAGCATATCATTCCTCCTTATTCCCATCAAATCTTGGACTCAGTCTTGACACTAGTGTTCTGCATCAGCCTCTAGCTTTCCAGGAGTCACAGCTCTAGGTACTATTTTCTCCAGCATAGTTAATGTACAGCGCCCGTTCAGCACCGTGCCTAGCACATACAACAGACGGACCTGTGAAATCACATCAATGGAGGGCACAAAACGTCCTATGGAGTAGAACTCTGATTACTACATCTGTTCAACTCTAGTGAACATATCAGTTGTTTAAAATGCAGCCAATTACTGATGGATACAAGTATCTTTATGGGCTCTGTGTATTTCTCTCTTAGTAATAGAACAAGAGAAAACCTAGGCCAGGGATGTAATCTAGAGAGCAGTGGCCACAGTTGAGAGCCATAAGCCCTGCACTGCTGCTCACAGAATGAGTGCAAGGAGACGGAGCAAGGCCCGTGCAGGCAAGTCCACAGCCCAACTCTGCTAGGCTCACTGCCCCCTGCTTCCCAGAGTGCTGAGAGGGGCAGCCACACCAGCCTCCTTTGTGCTAGCTGAACTGTTCTGCACCCTGCACCTGCTTCTGGATGCTTCTCTCTACCAAAGCTTAATAAACCCAGGTCCAGGTCCCCAGTGTAACAGCAACTCACCAAGCACTACAGTCCTGACACACACACACACACACACACACACACACACACACACACACACACACACACACACACATGCAGGAGTTCTCCCTCCCTGCAAGGTCACATGCAGTCATTTCTAACTTTATAATTGTGTTAGAGCAGTCACTTTCATTCTTTCATCTATGTAACCTTCAATTTTAACTCAGAATGCAGGCGAGCTGCCAAAATGTAAGCTTCTTGAAACCCAGAGTGCTGCAAATTCAGATACTCACAAGAATTGCTTTTGCCTTTCCATATGTGTTTGTGTAGTGTGCAAGAGTTGTATGGTTCACACAAGTGTGTTCAGGTGCATGTGCATCTGTGTGGAGGCCCAGGGCTGATGTCCACTGAGACAGAATTTCTCAATTGAACCCAGAGCTGGTCTATACTATCTGTCTTGCTCCTGGGGTAGGGATCCCCCATTTCTACGTTCCTTCTCAGGCTGGAATTACAGCCTAGTCTCCGCTCAGACGCAGCATCTAGATGAGTTCTGAGGATCCTGCTCTCTTGCTTGTGAGGCAAATACTTTGAGCACAGAGCCATCTCCCCAGCCCTAATATCAAGATTTACTGTTATTGTTTCATCTGACTCTGAATGATAACCTCTGAGCTGTCCACTCTGGGTTCATCCTGGCGGAGTTATTCATTGGTGTTTACTACTTTGATCATGAGTTATTCTAAGTGGACAGAATTTAGGGGAGAAAAAAAAAAAACAAAGAGAGAGAGCATTAAAAGAAACATGAGAAAAAACTAGATGTTTTCATTAATTATGTATTTATTTCTGTTATTTAAAAAGATTTGATGTGGCCAACAGGGGTAGCTTATTGTTAACACAAAGTGCTTGGCTAAGCGGGCACCACAGTTTGAGCAGTGCATACACTTTGAAGCTGTTCTCCTCTTAACCCCAGTGGGTGGTCTCAGATCACAGAGCGGGCACATCTTTAGGGTCACAGAACTGATACTAATTTTCATCTTCTCTTTCCCTAGTCTTTTGAAAAACACTTGGAATTTATTTTCATTACGGTTTATTAAGTTTTAAAGGACCATGGTACTTTCATTTATTTTGTTATGCCTTATATATTCAAAATAAAACACCTCAGCTTTCTAAAAGTCATATTTGGGTCTTTAAATATAAAGGAAATTCCCTTTTTAACTACACTCTTGCCTCTTGTTGAGATCATTTAACATGAGAAATTATTTTCGAAGGAAGCTCAACACATACTTCAACTCCCACGTAACAACACTGCAAACTTTGTTAGCATCTGCATATTTTCTTTACTAATTGTAGTGTTAGTCTGAAGTTAATTATATGAAACTGATTTTTTTCCTGAGCACAACTTTTATATACCACATTCAGTTTAATTGGTACTTTGAATAATAAATTGTTTTTCAGTGAGAGCATATTGTTTGATATTGCTAATGAAATGATTTTAATGTTCATCTGAGCTATTATAAGGAAACTTATTTTATCTTATGTTTTAAATATAATTATCCCTTGTAGCATACTAATTAAACCACCTTTAAAATTCTCAGTATAGTAGTAAATGTAAAAACACTGCCGTGAATGGCAGCCAATTCTCCTTTTATAAAACTGCTACTTGTGAATTCTCCAGCTACGGCAGAGGGTTTCTTGTGCTTCTCTTGATTAAATAAATATTTTTGCTTCTAACATCTTTGGTGCTTTGCACGGTTCTACAAATGTGGTATGTGTTGATAGAGGTTACCACTTTTAGTAATGATGCCAATGTAGTTTCCCAGACTACTCACAGACATGTTAAAGAAAAAGGGGCGCAAAATAAAACGTAACTGAGATTACCTAAGCAAAGAAGATTCATGAATCAGGAGGTGTCAGAAAGGAGGTGTTCCCTGGAGGAGTTAGAACATGGAAGTTTATAGGCAGAACACAGAAGCAAGTAAAAAAAACAAAACTACTTAAATGTTATAGCTGACTACCCACCTTCTTTGGGGATGGTCTAAAGGGAAGCACTGTGTCACAGTTCAATCAGCTAGCGGGCTGACTAGAGCTAGATTAAAAGTTAGTCGTTTGTAAGAATGCCTCTAAGTTTCTGTTGTTTCTGCTAGGGTGCCTAAGCATTCTGGGTAGAACAATGACCCCAGGCTAGACCTGCTTAATTGGTTTTAATGGGACCTGTAGTGTTAGCCAGAGTGGCAAGGTAACAGAACATTAAATCTCCAATAAAGCTGATACCATTTCAACCAGTGCTATTGAATCTCATCTGTGTGGTCTCCGCACTGCTCCTATCACTTGAGGTGATAAAAGAAACAACAAAAATTGAAAGACTCACATCTCAGTCTAGCCTGGTGGTGCAGGCATGTAATTCTAGCTACTTGGGAATCTGAGGCAAGACGACTGTAAGTTTAAGGCATGCTTGAGTTACATAGGGCGTTCAACGCCAGCCTGGGCAACTCAGTGGGACTCTATAAAAACAGAAAAAGTAAAAAGAGGGTCAGAGCTGTATCTCTGTGGTGGAGTGCTATTCTGACATATATAAAGCTTCAGGGCATATCCCCAGTACAGAAAGAAAAAAGATGCAGTTCTTGCTCTGAAGTAAGTCTTGGCTACTTGGGGAGGCTGTGGAAGGAAGTTGATAGAAAATGGCCATGAACAGTTGTAGCCTATTTATGCATGGTGTGACACTGTTCTCTATATTAAAATATAAAATGTTAATAGAAAGCAAATTTAGCATAGGCTAGAATAATTTCAAGAAGCTTTATGATAAAGATGGACTTGAACTGGACATTTTTTAAGCGGTTAAGATTTGGAAGTGGAAGAGTAAGTGACTGTGGAGAGCTCAGTCCCAAATGAGACATCTATGCACAACCCATAAGTCTCAAGTGGTCTGCCCTAAACACATGTACATGTGAACAACACAAATTGGTCTCAAGGTGTGTGTGTGTGTGTGTGTGTCTACAATAATTAAAGAAGAGATCATTACTTCAACAGAGCTCATGGGAAGAGGTAGAGGAGGAGAGAAAAGGTGGAAATACAGTGTAATTTTGTTTGTGATTCTCAAATATTTTAAATTAAAACTAAAGAAAAAGTATGGGGAAGTGGAAAATTTTCAGTGGCAGCTAAAATGTGAATGAAGACTCAGACACAAGACCAATCTTTTTGTTGCTGTTTACCATTTATTTATTTGACAAATATTTGTTAAGATACAATATAATTGAGGAAATTTTAATGTATTGTAGGTGTTTGATAACATTAAGTGTTTATTGTTATTTTGTTAAATAGCAACATCATAGTAGTTATATGCTCTTTTCAAAGTATTCATACATGCCGAAGTATTTATAGTTATTTTAGTATTTACTTTAAGGTTTTTATTGAATTTTTGTGATTTTCATACACTATAATTTGATAGTATTAGATCCCTTCCCCTATCCACATTTTCCCTTATTATCCCCTCCTGCCCAATCTAATGAGCTCTATTATATACATAATAAGGCCTATAGGGTCTAATTTGTGTCCCCAAGTGTCCTTTAGAGTGGGTCCATCCACTGAAGCCTCGTTAACCTACCAAGAGTCCCATTCTTGAGCCTGTTTATTTCCCTCCCAGCAGCTGTCAGTTGCCAAAATTCCTTAGAGTGGGTTGGGGTTTCTTACCCACCTCCTAATGTCTATGCTGGGATTTTGTCTAGTGTGAGCTTGCATGGGACTTGTGTATGCTGTCACCATTTTTGTGAGTTCATATGTCATGTGTATGTGTGTGTGTGTGTATGTGTGTGCCCATGCCTGTGTGTATAGAACACAGACGACAACTTGTAGGAGTTGATTCTCTCCTTCCTTCTCTCCTTCCACCATGTGGATTCTGGGGCTGGAATTCAGATCACCTCTCTTGGTAGCAAGCACCTTTTTGCACTGAACCATCTTGCCAGACCCAATACCAATCTTTGTAGCATTCAAAGTGCAATAGGACAATGCGTCAGTTCAGAGAGTCTCTGTTGGTGCACACTGGAGGATGACAGTAGGCATGTACCATGAAGTCATGTTGCAGATGGGTACCAGTGCCAGGATGCAGCTGTGGACGACAGCAGTGAACCACTGCAGATTTCTGAATGGAGATACAGTTGATCCCTCTCACAAGGCTGCTCACAAACCACGCTGTGATTCAGAGTCTAAGATACAGACAGGCAATGAGGAATAAAGTGAAGCAGTGTGGGCAGCTAACAGGACTGCCAGGAACATCCTGAAGCCAAAGGCATGTCTTCCTTTGGGATGGGAATTATTTCCACTGTTCTAAGGGCTTGAATAAATCTGCCAGTAGAGATGTGATACACAAACCCAAAGTCACTGGCAGCGTATGGGAAAATTCTGATTTTATCAAAATGCAGTTTTGGGAGACTGTGTCCCTCATTTTTGGTGAGTGGGTTACATGGGGCAAATGAGAGGCTTAGGCCATGAAAGTTACAAGTCATGAAGGCATGTGAGCACTTAACATGAGGTGTGTAACATGGCTCTGAGATTGCCAACTGGGTAATGAAGGTTGTGGAGCCATGGGAGGAAGTAGAACAGAAAAAGGAAATGGTCCACTGAGATGATTTCCTCAGTTCCTGTTCTAAGCCTGTAACTGGGCTGGAAACTGTTCCCAGCACTCAGCGCAGCTACCATGATGGACAATTTGGATTTTCCCTAAATCTCATTGCAGGTTTGTAGGAAAGTTTCTTTCTTTCTTCTTCTTCTTCTTCTTTTTTTTTTTTTTTTTGGCTTTTGACTTTTGGTCATGTCAGGGTTTTTAAACATAGCTCCCGAAAGATTGGTTTATTTAGGGGATTTTCAGTAGTTGGATAACTGTCTAATGTTTAAATTCATGTGGAAATATGCTGGAATGTTGGCAGATAGAACAGCTTGGCTTGTGGATGGACAGTCAGTGTTCTGAGATCCACATTTCAGCAAGGTTATGGCTGTGCAAAGCATCACTGGCAGCGTGACTCCACATGAAGCTTTTCCTCTTAGCAATTAGCTATTATCCTCCAATAAGGTCGTGTTACTAAGAGATGAAACAGATTAGTCCAATTAGCTTAAAATCGTAGTGTTCAATCAGCCTGTTGTGGCACACGTTTGTAACCCCAGGACTTGGGAGGTTTGGGCAAGAGGGAAGCCAGACCCTGTCTTGAAAAATCAAAACAAAACAAAAAGAATAGCAATAATCAGTTTGAAAACTGAAAAATGAGAAGCTTAGTATTAAAAATAACTTTAGTAGGGGCTAAAGAAATGTCTCAGCAGTTAAGAACACTAGCTGCTCTTCCAGGGAACCCTGGTTCAGTTCCCAGCACCAACATTGTAGATGGCATCCACCTGTAACTGCAGAGGATCCAGCGTCCTCTTCTGTCCCCCACAGACATTGGATGTCCAGGTGTACTTACATGCGTCCAGGCAAACCCTCAAATACACAGATAAAAATAAAAAATTATTTGAAAAATTAAAAAGCTTCAGTATATGGGAAACCATGTTGTATTTCATATGTTATTTGACTTAGTAAATAATCCTGTAAATGCGTACTTTTGTTATTTTTATTGTCTAAGTGAAGAAATTGATTTAGAGAAGTTAAATAAATTGCTGGAGACTTCGAGGAGTTAGGCAGAGAGTCAGGCTCAGACTCAGGCTTAGGATGACCTTAAAGCCCTTACTCTCAGTTGATAGACTATGCCCGCCTCTTCTGGTCACAAAGATGGAACCAGGGAATTGCAAATTTTAGTACCGCTTACCACACTCCACCCACAAAAGATAGGATTTCTGGCATGTGTGAAGAAACAATGTTTAATTTGTAAGATATTCCAATGAATGTTTAACAACCTGTGTTCTGATGTTCCAGCAGGGGATGTTTTTGCTTGACTCATGGTTCTCAACGCAGTAAGAGCTTACCTTTGAGAAGCTGTGTATATGAATAAGCCATTTCTTGTCTTGATAACTTTGTATGAGCCAGATCCTTTATGAACATCCCAAACATAGGTTGAAACTGTGGAAAATTAGTTTACCACCATTGAAGGAAAAAAGTCAGATGTTAGCCAAAAAATGAGAATATAAATTCTATCATAAACAATGACAGGAATAAGGTATATCTTTGGAAAATCTTCTCTACCCTGAATAAAATTTTTAAAATAAACATATGACACCTGTAATTTTATATGAGTGAATGAAATTTTATAAGCCTGTGCTTATATCTAAGCTTATGTTTCCATAATAAAAATGTGTAAGAAGTCACATTTTCTTTATTTCAACCTATGAAATTCATGGAGATTTTTGTCTGTTCTTCTCACAGCTGAATTTCTATTCCTCCTTTGGGGTGTTTATCTCTGCTATGCAGTGCGGACAGTCCCGTCAGCGTTCCACGAGCCACGCTATATGGCCGTTGCGGTCCACAACGAGCTCATCATCTCCGCCATATTCCACACAATCAGGCACGTGACCGCTGCAGCTCGGGCAGACTGTATTATTTCGCTGGTGTGCTGCAGTTTGAACAGCAAAACTGTACAAGATGCATAATGAAAAGATTTTAAAGGGACAACTGTTTATAAGTACCGAATTTGTTGGAGAAATGCCAAGTGAATTTTTCAATTGCTCCTAGTTCCTTCTCATGGATTTTTTCTTTCTTTTTTCCAGCTTCACTCATTTTGAAACTTAGCTCAATATTATTATATTATGCTAAGCCATTTACAAGATATCATGGGATATTTTATATATATATTTATATATATATATATATACTTTGTTATTAAGCTGTAAAACAATCCACATAAATTGTAAGGCAGCTGTATCTAACTCACATTTTTCCCTCACTTTTAATACGGTGACATATACTTTAAAATTGTTAATAGACACCGCATGAGTGTGGATTCCCCTGGATTCTAATACAATTTGATGCCTAGATTACTGTGCTCATGGTGTCCTGTCGTCACCGTGTTTTAGCCATGAAGATCTGGGCTGAAAATGTGTAGCCTCGTTGCTGTTTTGTGACCATCTCATGTATCACTACATCAGAAGATGGAGGGGAAGGTGGCAGGGAACACGGGAAGCAAAATGAAGCACCTGGACTTGCTTCTGAGAACTTTTCACTGCTTCATAGTTAAAATGGAATGAAACCATCAGGGCACATGAAAGGGGAATCCCAGCATTGAAAGGCAACTTAGAAAATGTCATTCAACTGCCTGAAAATACTGAAAGTCAGGACACACTTATGAATTTAATTAGAAATGTAATGTCTTGTCTTGAGTAGAAAGGGGATTTCTGTCCTTCGGCTTCAGGTCCTTTCTGGCATTTAGACTCCCTGGGAGTCCAGGTGGGACAGACAGGAGGCTGGGACCTGTGGAAGTGTCTCAGGGTGCTTGTGTCCCATTTCCGTCAGAACTCAGAAAACACAAACTTCCCCGTCAGGAAGAGATGTTGCCAGAGAGCAATTGAGACTCTAGGCATGCTACACATTTAAACTTCTAAGTATCAAAGGACATCTCTATGGTCCAATAGGCTGGGAATGCCACGGGGGGCCGGAGTCAGGGGAATTGGTCCAGCTTTGTCTTGCTGCAGCCAAGTTACAGATAAAGAAAAGAGGAGGAGAGGACACAAGGAAGATGAGTGTGGAATATGAGACGAAAAGTAAGCCAAGCGCAGAGACTTCCTCCGGGTTCTGAGAGGGGAAGTCTGGGATCAGAAGACAGTGTTGTGGTCCCATGGGATAAAGACTAGGATTACCCTCCCAGGAAGTGACCCTTTTGTGATTTTTCTTTAGAATGTCAAGCATGCGAGTTTTCAGATCTAGCAAGCAGGCTACTCAGTGATCAGATCGAGGCCCAGTGTTGTATTCACAAGCCAAGTGAAGAGTTAGGTGCCTGCAAGTATCCCCATGGGTGACAAACTCCAAATGAGACAAAGTAGTCCAAAAGCAGCTAGTTTCACTGAAGCAAGTAAGTTGCTCAAATTAAGTCTTTTCAAAGAAGTATAAATAAACTTTTCTCCTGTAGATATACTCTGAGTGATGAAAACATCACTAAATATGATTTTTCAATAGATTTTGAACTCTAAACTAGCCCAGGTCCTTTCATAGACAGATGAGTAAACTGTTTCTTACACAGACTTTACAAAATATTTTAGTCCTAAGGCAACAGATAGTCCCCACCAAAAGATTCTAAAATACTAAAGGAAAAAGTAAACACCTTGTTCGTACCACCCAAAGATAAGCATCGCTAACACGCTAGTATATTCACTTCAGGTGCTCTGTGTGTGTGTGTGTGTGTGTGTGTGTGTGTGTGTGTGTGTGTGTGTGTGTGTGTGTGTGTGTGTGTGTGTGTGTGTGTGTGTGTGTCTATTTTTAACACACTGTAATTTTTTTTTAGCATTTTTGTAGCCAGAAGGACAAATGAATTAGATTGTAGTTAAACATAGTGGCCTTTAGAATATGAATTTGAACAGGTTGGGGAACTGGTAATAGAAATAATACTAAAGAAATAAAATATGGTCAAAGCCCCTTTTACACATCAACTTAATATATGCTATGTTTCTAATACTTATAAAGTCCCAGAGAAAGAAGAAATAACATAATAATTTAAAATGAATCAGATGCATTTGAGTCTTTTTTCTTGAAAGAAATACTATTAACTAAGGCTCCTGATATCAGGAGAAGCACACTGTCAATAGGGTACATGTGTTCTTGCCTATCTGCTTAAAGTATAAAATTCTGTGTGTGTGTGTGTGTGTGTGTTCACATTAAAATTAAAATGACTACCTAGATATACACACTTACTTTCATTCTTACCAAATGGTCAGATTAGATGAAAGTAAATGATTATCAAAGAACTAAATCTGAAAGGATAAATATGCAGAAGACCTTTCTCCCAGTTTTTCTAATTCTTTATTTTTGGAGCTAGCATAAAGCAACCCTTTAGGAATCTGCAAGATTTTGAAAGTCTGTTTTTATTTTTAACCACAATTTACAAATATTTCTGTGCTCCAGCCTTTTAGACCTATTTTCTAAAGGTTGAACTATCTTTTTAAAAAACGAAGCTTTAAAAATGACTGCAAAACTCAGCTTTTCTTGGACTATTTCTACCTAGACCTGCAACTTAAAAGTATGGCATTAATTTAAAGCTGATTAATTTGAAGGTAATTACTGCCAACAGTATTTCAAAGTGATTTTTTTTTGGAAGTTCACAATTTTCACTTAAAGTCTATGGAAACATTCTTCCATCTATGTGTGTTGAGAAGTTGTAACTCATTTGGTTGGTATTTGAGATAGGATTCCCTGATAAGCGGAACCTTAGAGACACAAATCTGTTTCTACTGATGGACCTTTCTGCTGCAACACACATAGTGGCCTCTAAATGTTTGGGCTTGGATAATTTATATATACATACATGTGTGTATGTGTAAATATATATGTATATGTGTCTATGTGTGTATATACATATGTGTGTGTTTGTATCACATATGCCTCAGAGTTTGGAATGTGTTACTTAGTATGGCAGTTCCATCGGAAATGATTAAACAAATCTCACATAACTCAGGGAAGTAGACCATGTCAAAAGTGTATCATCGCTGCAAAAACTACATGTAAAGTCCTACTCAAGACTCAGGTGAGGCGCCTGTTCCCACAAAGGAGCTGGAGAAGGTGCCTTTGTAATGACACATGAGCTATCATAAGCATTCTGCACTTTTTGCGAGCCGCCAGTCTGTTTTTTACATCTCCAGAGGCATGGGAAAATAACTTTAAACTTTGGATGACTCTTGAACTTCTATTTTAGTGTGCTGTTCTAAGAGAAGGGGGCAGTGAGAATGAGGAAGAAATACTCTTGGCGACAATGTTGCTTTATATATTAGTAATATGAATTGATTTAGCCTAATTGTCATGAATACACTCCAGGTCAGATTTTAAATGAGTTTGTTCCTGTTAACCATTCATATATTTGTTTTGTAATTATGAGTTTGGGGGCTGGAAAGAACTCTTAGTGGTAAAGAGCACTTGATGTTCTTGGAGAAGACCCAAGTTTGGTTCCCAGCACTTACATCAAGCAGGTTGCAAATTCCTGTAACTCCAGCTCTAGGGGATCTGATGCCCTCTTTTGGCCTCTTCTAGTACCTCATGTGTGGATCACAGCCACCCCCACCACACACACATAAATAACAATAAAAATAAATCTTTTTTTTTTTTTGTCTTTTTGAGACAGGGTCTCCCTGTAGTCCCACCTGTCCTGGAACTCACTATGTAGACCAGGCTGGCCTTGAACTCACAGAGATCTGCCTGCCTCTGCCTCCCAAGTGCTGGGACTAAAGGCGTGCACCACCATGCCCAGCAAAAATAAATCTTAAGATATAATACTTTAAGGATGTGAACTTTTCACCTTTGATGATGCATGCCATTGAAACAAAATTCTAATCATAATCCATTTGAATCCACAGTGTATGGGAAAATTAAAAGAAGGATTACAATTGCAGAAAAACCTTCATAAAAATAGCTCTGGTTTCTACGTAGGGATGGGTTCCTTTAAACATGAGCTTTGTATCATACACCTACAGTTTACAGGAATCTCCAAAGTTACTGGAGCAGACTTCAAGACTGGGTTCTTCTTCACCAACTTGGAATACAACTTTATAAATCCTCAGTTGGAGATGATTTCAAATATTAAATTGCAAATTATTTTTAAACGTTGACAATTTTGAACACCTTAATTTTTTTCTTTTAAAAGGTACCTTTTACTGGGTATCCTACTCAGTGGTAAAAAGTGTTTATCTAAGGATGAAAGAGGTCTGGAGTTTGACACCCCCCTCCCAGCACCACCAAAAAAGAAAGAAAATAAATAAGCAGACATCTAAAAATTATTCGATTATTCATTTCATCTACTGCATTATTTACCATGTAAATCTTTGAGATTCCCTGCAAAGAAAGATAACTAAATAATTAACCACTCCTTTCCCCTTCATTCCAATTAATGTTTTGTGAATAAAAAATATTACAATAAAATATATTTGGATGTTACTTGCAACCTATATTTGCCTGAGTCACCAATTTATAACTTCCTCCATTCTGACCTGATGTATTCACTGTCTTAGCATTGTAGAATATGTGTGTGTGTGTGTGTGTGTGTGTGTGTAATCATATATACATATATATTGGAATAGGTTTCACATATCCTGTGTGTAAGGCAACCTCAAATAATAAATAATAATTTTACTATCTTGTGAATAATGAAGTTTGCCTAAACTTTCTTCTTCTGTGAAGAGACAATATGTAATAGAAAGTCTTTTTTTTCTATTTTTAAATAAACTGAGAAGAAATACTTCCAAATATCCTAGGTTTTAAAGTAGAATCCTCTCTCTTGACTACTAACATGAAGAATTCTTGTTTCAGATTCGTGCTTGCCTCAAGACTGCAGTCTGACTGGATACTGATGCTGTATTTTGCACACACTCATTTGACTGTGACAGTCACCATCGGGTTGCTTTTGATTCCAAAGGTACTCTTCCTACATCTTATTTTCTCTTGCAAGGCAATAATTTTAAGAGCACGGAATTATTTCTCCTTTAAAAAACATCTGCCACAATGGGCAAGGAAGTGTGGAAATTTGTGACAGAGTTTTTAAAACGTTCCTCTCCCTGGGTATCTGGGTTTTTTTTGAGAGGAGGTTATTAACATTTTAAATAATTTAAGTACTTTAATTCATACCATAATTTATTATCTGCTTTAGTCCCTTCTGAATATTTTAATTTCTACCCTGTTAATCATTATGAGTTCAAAGTGACTTTCACTGAGATGATAATCGTGGTGGTGCACGCCTTTAATCCCAGCACTCAGGAGGCAGAGGCAGGTGGATCTCTGAGTTCGAGGCCAGCCTGGTCTTCATAGTGAATCCAGGACAGCTGTTGTTCAAAAAGAACAACAACAACAACAAAAAAGAACTGTCATGTTGAGGCTGAAGAGGTGCCCTAGTGCTTAAAAACTCTTGCTGCTCTTGCAGAGGACCTGAGTTTAGCTCCCAGTACCCACATGGTATCTCACAGCAGCCTGAAGCTCCAAATCTCCAGGGAATCCAACACCCTCTCTAGCCTCCACTGGTACTAAATACATGTAGTGCACATACATGATGTAGGCAAAATACTCATACACATAAAAATAAAAATTAAAAAAGAATTAGTTAAAGATCCTCTTATTTTATTTAAAAAATTCAGAGAATTTTAGTGTAAATAGAAGTAAGTATGATATTATGTGTAGAAGAATATCAATAATGCTATATTCTGGCCAAGATTTACTAAGGCTTTAAGCACAAAGTGGAGGAAAGTACTCAGGGAGTCAGAAGATGGGGCTTCCAGGAGTGTTCTTCCCCTTGAACTAGCTGTGGACTACTACAACATTAGCCAAAACTCTGGATCTCTCTGAATTTCCGTTTCCTCATCTTGACTTGAAAGCAGTCCTAGTTACTTCTATTGCTGTGATAAAATACTGACCAAACACTTGGGGAGGAAAGGATTTATTTGGCTTATAGCACAGTCCATCATCGAGGGTAGTCAAGGCAGGAAGTCAGGGCAGGAACCCGGAAGCAGGAACTGAAGCACAGACTGGAGAAACACTGCTTACTGGCTTGCTCCTCTGGCATGTACTCAGTCTGCTTTTTTATAAAACCTAGGACCAGCTGCCCAGGGGTGGCACCACCTACAGTAGGCAGGGCCCTCCTACTTCACTCAACAACCAAGAAAATGCCCCACAGACATGTCCACAGGCCAGTACAATAGAGGAAATTCCTCAGTTGAGGTTTTCTCTACCCAAGTGCATCAATTTAATAACAGGCGATTCGGTATTCAAGTTACAGTATCGCTATTAATTCTATTTTGTTTTACACATGGAAAATCATGGTACTGGAACATTAGGTATCTAATTATCAGTGCCACGCTGGACAGCATGAGTAAGCATGAGACCAAAGGTCAGGTATACTGTCTTTCACTCCAGGAATGAGCTCAGCTTTCACAATTAACCTTTAGGTGCAGCCTGATTGAAAAGTCAAGCAATTACAAACAAAACAAATGCTCATTTCACTGCTCCCTGAGTTCTGTTAACCAGTTTTTGTAGATCATTTTGTTACCGTATTTTATCTTAGGTACTTTTAAACTCCATATGGTTATATATTTATTAGATTAATGGATATACTCAGACTGTTCATTCAAGAAATCATTACTATTCTACAAAGAGAAGACATATGCGCATACAAAAAATCTTGAACATGAATGTCTACAGGTGCTTTACTCATAATAACCGAAGAACAGAAACAACCTAGATATTCACCCACTAATGATATGTTTACATAATGGAATATTACTTGTCAATAAAAATGAATTTAATGTAGGCTGGGGAAATAGTTCAGTCAGTAAAGTTGACCTGCATTAAATCCCAAGAACCCACTTAAGAGAAGCCAGGTGTGGTGGCTCATACTTGTAATCACAGCACTGGGGAAGCAGGACAGGCAGCTCTCTGGGCCTTGCTGGCCAGTCAGCCTAGTCTACTTGGTGAGTTCCAGTCAAGTGAGAAACTCTTGTCTTAAAAAGCAAAGTGGACAGCGGCCTGAGGAGTGATGCCTGAAGCTGACCTCTGGCTTCCCCATGCATATACACCTATATGCAACACACATACATGCACCTGAACATACATGAATATGGACATACAAGTACATAAGTGCACAAACACACACACACACACACACACACACACACACAAGAATGAAATGTGGACATATGCTACAACTCTGACAGCATTGTGCCAATTGAAAAAGCTGGTCACACAAGGCCACATAGTCCACACTTTCATCTGTGTAAAATCTCTACAACTGGCAAATCTGCAGAAAAAGAAACAGATTAGTCGTTTCCACAGCATGAACAGGAATAGTGAAAGCAATTAATTACATCATCAGTTTGAGAGCCCCTGTTGAGGTGATGAAAATATTCTGGAATTAAACCATAGCGATTATTGCACAGCCTTGTGTAATACTAACACTCAATCACATTTTTTAAAAATTTGTATTTTTAATTTCTATTTTATGTGTATGAGTGTGTTGCCTGCATATGTGTATGTGCACCCATGCCATGCAGTGCTCTTAGAGGTCAGAAGAGGGCATCAGATCCCCTGAAACTGGAGTTATGGATGGCTGTCAGCTACCATGTGGGTACTGGGAACTGAACCTAGGTCTTAACCACTGAACCATCTTTCCAGATCCCTGAATTAGATGCTTTAAAAATGTAAAATTGATATATGAAATTCATCCCAACATATAACAAAATAATATGATTGAAGGATTTTGCTAGACACTTAGAATAACTAATGAACAGATAGGAAGATGTGCTCTGATGGGAGTTAGATTTAGGGGTGGGGGAGGGGAAAGAAGATAAGTAAGATAAATATTTAAAGTAGCATTTAGGATAAAGCCCTAAGGAGAAAATAAACAAACAGGAAATGTGTAATACCTGACAAATGACTGTTTTTGTTGTTTTGGGGTTGCTGGGGATCAAATCCTGGGGCTTGTGAATGCTGAATGTGTATTCTATCACTTAGTACAGCTCCAGCTCTTGCCTGCCCTAAGCTTAACACTTGTCTCCAAGATTTTGCTCTAGAAAAACAATTTTATTCTTTGAAGTAACCTCCAGGTGGTATAACAAATACCTTGTGAGATTTGGGATTCCATCATAGCCACCACTGCATCTTTAAATTCATGATACCTGCGGATCTCACAAGTAAAAAAGGAAAGACCATTAAAGGTGATTTCCCAGTCAGTGCCAATTACAAACAATCCAGTGTAGACAAACCCCAGTTCCATTTTGCTTCCCTTTGCATCAACATCATCACTGTTGATGGCTGTGGTCCTAATCTGGTTGAGCTGCTATAACACAACCTACTGATTTTTTAAAGAAATAGTTGAACTGGGGATAATATGGGAGAAGAGAATCTGTGTTTGCTGAGCAATTACCTCACTGTTTTAAGGCATGTTTTCTACTCATTACTGAATGCATGGCTAGATGACTTTGGCTCATCTTCCTGCTTTCTAACATTTACCAAATTCACTCTTTCTGACTTCTACACCTAAAAAGAATGCAAATCAGCACACAAAACCGAAAATATCCCATGAAAATCATCAAAGTGTGGTAAAGGAGGAACTTGATAAACAACGATGAGGTGGAGGAAAAGAATCTGTAATTTCAGTGACTCTTTCCAAACTTAAATACCATCCTGGTAAAAGGTCATTAGGCCAAGGTGGTGCTGTGTGCCAGGTTAGGTCTATGTTTTGCTCAACATCTCACCAATGACCAACTTGAGACTGGACTCACACATCCTGCTCACTGAGTTTTGAAAGTCTAAACTATGTACAGTAGATGTGGAGTCACATTCCAGTCACTGGAGCTAATTGTGCCATAGATGACTGGACCCTCACCTAAGTGAGGGTAGTCATCTTACATTTTAGCATATTATAAAGACAGACAAATCTCATTCGTACATCTTACATCTACATGTTTCCCTTAAGGAGCCTTTCTTTGTTTTCTTTCTACTAATTTTCATTTGCAAAATCAAATATATCATGGAAAACAGTAGAGTCAGTTCAATACTGGGAGCCTTGAAAAGAGACAAGGGTAAAGTTGGAGTCAAAGAATGAGTGAAGCTGATGCAGCCTCACTCACAGCTCCAGGGAACGGCATGGAAGGTAAATCACAAACAGAGCAGTAAGCCGTTGGTCTGTTTTGAGTGAGTTTATCTTAAAAAATGAAGTTAGCACTGGAACCTTAGAGAACGATGGTCTTGCCTCACAGCGGCTAAAGCCACAGCTCATGCTATCTGTTGCAGTTTTCCCATTCAAGCAATAATCCCCGTGATGACATTGCCACAGAAGCGTATGAAGACGAGCTGGACATGGGGCGTTCTGGGTCCTACCTGAACAGCAGCATCAATTCAGCTTGGAGTGAGCACAGCCTGGATCCGGAGGACATTCGGGTAAGGCCAGGTATCTTCTTACCTGTGTCAGCTTAGTCCAATTTGATATAGCAAACACATGTGGACTGGGGAGTGTGTGAGAGTGTGTGTGTGTGTGTGTGTGTGTGTGTGTGTGTGTATGTGTGTTGTATCTATATATGTTTTAAAGAGAAAGGGGATGTATGTGTGTGACGGGAGACACCAGAAGCTGTAATACTGCGATGTACAATCATAGTATACTTAAAATGCATAAAGCGGTCTCAGTTCTGTAGCCTTGGCCATCTTTGGTCACCTTGACTGACTTACTGACCACCACAATGGTGATCGGGTTATACGTGTTCTGTGGTTTACGTTTTTGACATCTTGCTGTTGTGAGTGGAGAGACTGGATTATTTAATATAATCTGTGCAAACATATTGGCCACTGAAGGAAGGGGTTTTGGACCATTGTTCATAGCTTTAGACTAGTATCATTCATGACTACCAACATCACATGATGCTTCCAGCACTTCTCAGGGATGCTCCTCAGCAGCAGGCAATGTCAGCTTAGTCCAGTTTGGGCCCACTGATATAATCCAGTGCTGGATTTTGTTGTAGTTCTGTCTGGGCTTCAGAGGTTGAACATTCAAAGTCCTTACTCCATGAATCAAAGGTAAAATGTTTAAGATCATAACTTAAAGTTCAGATTTTATTTTTCAAAATCCACCGAATAATTAGATATTTAAGAACAAAGAGAAATTGTTGAATAAAATTGTGACAAAAAGCAATAGAACAGTTGTCTGAAAGAGCTCCAGCTTACTGCTATCAAACACCTTTCAGTGATGTTTTCTGTCTGAAACAATGAATTCCATGCCTTTAAATTTTTCCTTTTGTTTTGGCAGGATGAGCTGAAGAAACTATATGCCCAGTTAGAAATATACAAACGGAAGAAGATGATCACAAACAATCCCCACCTCCAGAAAAAGCGGTGCTCCAAGAAAGGCCTGGGCAGGTCCATCATGAGGCGCATCACCGAGATCCCAGAAACGGTCAGCAGGCAGTGCTCCAAGGAGGACAAGGAAGGCGCAGATCACAGTGCGCCCAAGGGCGCGGGCCTGGTCCGGAAGAACCCACCCGAGTCAGGGAAGCCCAAGGAGGAGTCCCTGAAACACCGAGTCTTCTCTCTCAAGAAATCCCACAGCACATACGACCACGTGAGGGACCAGATGGAGGAATCCCGCAGCCTGCCCGCCGCCAGCCAGGAGGAGGCCACCGAGAGCCCCACCCTGGAGTCTCTTTCCAGTAAGAAGTTGACGCAGAAGATCAAAGAGGACAGTGAAACGGAATCGACGGAGTCGGTGCCTCTGGTGTGCAAGTCCGCCAGCGCGCACAACCTCAGCTCCGAGAAGAAGCCCGGGCACCCGCGGACGTCCGTGCTGCAGAAGTCGCTGAGTGTCATCGCAAGTGCCAAGGAGAAGACCCTGGGGCTGGCTGGGAAAACCCAGGCATCGGGTGCGGAGGAGCGCCCCAAGCCCCAGAGACCTCTGCCCAAGGACAGACTGACCACCAGGAAGCACTCGAACTCAGATAACACAGAGACGAAAGACTCCGTCCCCTCAAACTCCAACCACATGGAGCCCAGCAAGCCTCACAAGTCCGGGATTATGAAACAGCAGCGGGTCAGCCTCCCCACTGCCAACTCTGACCTGAGCCCGGGCAGCACTCAGATGAAGGACAACTTTGACATCGGGGAAGTGTGCCCTTGGGAGGTTTATGACCTGACCCCTGGTCCTGTGCCTTCCGAACCAAAAGCTCAAAAACACGTATCAATTGCAGCTTCTGAAGTGGAGAAAAACCCAGCTTTTTTCTCAAAGGAGAAGTCCCACCCCAAGCCTAAGGCGACTGAAGGGTGTCAGCAGCTCAGTCACAAGAGCGCAGATAAGGCAGAAGTGGGCCCTTGGGAGAGCCAAGGGCCATGCCTCTTTGAAGATGAGAATCACTTGATGTCCAAGACTCCAGGTCTCCCTGGGAGTGCTGGACGATTGGAAGAACTGCCCCCCAAAGTTGTAGCATCAAAATTAGAAAATGAGAATCTCAACCCAATGGGAGACCAGGATAAACAGACATCTTCCTCTATGGAGATCCCATCTGGCTCCTATAACTCAAGTAATAGTTGCCACCAACCCTTAACATCCCGAGCTGAGGTCTGTCCTTGGGAGTTTGAGACCCCAGATCAAACAAATGTGGAAAGAAGTCTAGCTTTACCTGCCTCTTCTGCTTTGAGTGTGAATAAGGTGGCCGGGCCTCAGAAGTAAGAGGTCTGGGACACCTGCCAACTGTAGCATCCCCAGGGAGAACAAGAGGAACCCCTGGTTGGATAGAAGATGTGAGAATCAATAATTGCCAAGGAATATTTGTCATCCAGGGGAATGTGGCACATAGTGTGGTGGGATCAAAGGCATGGGTTGAAAAAAGCTGGAGGGTACTGTGTTGGAAGCCTGGCTCAGACAAGAAATCATTCCCTGTGGTAACACTAGGGAAATCTTGAAGTTTGAGCACATTCAAGGGAGATTGCCCTGATTAGTCTTTACCCATGGGATTTGAGATCCCAGCAGGAAAATCAGGAGATGCGGAAGATGAAGGCATGAATTTGGGCAAAGAAGGGAAGAGACTAGATGCTTGAGACTGAAACTCTAATAGCTGACTGAAGAGGATCTATCTAACCTTCGTAGCACTGCTCACCTAATGCACCCCCAAAATACCTTTTATATAAATGATGGCTCTCATTTTCTTAAAATGTTACGTCTCCCTACATGGTTGTGTCTCATATGCAAGCATTCCAGATTGTATGATTTTTGCAAATAACTTTGATATTACGTGACACAACACATTTATGCAATCTGCAGCTACTCAATTGCTATTGCAACTTACCGAATACATGCTATCTACCAACTGTAGTAGATTCTTGGAGTACAGTAAGCTTTCTCTGGCTTAGGAAGCCATAACTGTTATGATGAAAACTTTAAGTTTGGGCCATGGTTTATACAGTATGAATTTAGATTTGACTTTATTATTTCCCATCATTGTCTGTTACACTGCCCTAATCATCTTTAAATACAAGTTATTTGTTTTGCACTTCTTGTAGGGATCAGAGGCTATTAATCGTGGAGATCAAGGGGTCCTGCTTAGTCATTTGTGTCTGTAAGTTAAGGACAACTTACCATTGTTTGTTCAAAGTCAAAGCTAGATCATCCCAATTCACTGTTCCTTTTAACTTTGAGTATTTCATACTTAGTATTTCCTAAGGAAGGAGCTGAGCGAGGACACGGTACTGTGCATCATCACCACTGGAAAGGGGCAACCCTAGGGGTGCTGTGGGAGTGACAGCATGCTACAAGTCCAGGAAATCTGCCTTTCAAAACAGAGACAGGAAGGTAACTCCGAATAGCACTTTCAAGGGATTATTTTTATAAAGAGAAAAATTAATGACAGCATCAAGATCACTGTATGGATATATTTTTATTATGCATACTGAAAATATGATATTTTAAATTACCTTAAACTATTTATTCTCATAAATTTTTATTCACTACTTCACCTAGGTGTAGAGCCTGCTGGTCTCAAATCCCAAAGAGATTTTATAAGCTGATATATTCAAAGCCCATGAAGTGGTATGGGTTTTTCATTCTTCCCAGTACCACAACTTACAAGTCCTGCAAATTTTCATTGCAAGACACCTAGCTCAAAATGCAAAGTGCAAGATTTATTTGCAAGGCAAGACAGCCCTCAAAGTGTATCTTATAAAATGCCCTGCCTTTCACACTGATCTCCTAGTGTAACCACCCTCAGCTGCTCACTTTGCTAATGATGTGATATTGCAATGAAATTCCAAAGCTTAATCTCATTTTATTTAAAGACGAATCACATGAAATTATAGCCCGTGCTTCCCTTTTCTTTCACTGCAAACACTGAACAATCCACTCATTATTGGGCCAAGACATTTCCAGCCAAATAACGTTTTCATTTTGTGAACATCAGGGAGGACACACTAGGAGGATGAAAGATGAAGAGAAAGAATTTCAGAAGGTAGACATGGGGCTGTTCTTATTATTCTCAGTGGAAGATAGAAACAGAAGTCTTTGTATCTATCATCAAAGTTTTCTCAGTGATTACTTATTCAGGAGTGAGCAAGCATGTGGACAGTTTGCAAAGCTATGTCTAACCCCACCCCCACATTTGCTTGCTTAGTACATTACTCAGGTTGGTGGGGTAAGTTTGAAGCACTATAGAAATTTTATTTTTAACTGCTGCCTTCATTTAGTTTTTTCATCCATCTCTTTCAATCAAAATCTATCTGCTAGGTGACCGTAGAATGCCACTTTAAGGTATATTTATGAATTTAGTTTAGAGGTTCTAAACCTACATACCTGTTTCGCTTGTGTGAGATCTGTTAGCACTTGACTCACTTCTGAGAATTAAAGTAGTCAAACGTTGCTGACTTTTACTGAAATTCAGGATGATCCTGCTAGACATGTGGCTTACAGATTTGCCAAATTATATCTTAGCAACAGTCTATAGTCCATAGATTACTCTCCACCAGCACAAACCAGCAAGGATGCTTAGGGTCTTTCCTAGAGTTTCATTTCCATTCTCTTATCACTAGGAGATGCTGAAATCTGTAGGCTCATTCTGGAGGCTCTGTTCCCAGGCTAAGAGCAATGGAAAGTGCACAGACATGGGTAAGGTCTCCACAAATGTTTGCTAGGCTGTCCTTCTCAACGCATGTGCAGGCTGCATCCTGTCCTTGTTCTAAGCCAGGGTTAACAATAAGTAGATTTATATCCGTCTTAATAGAACTGTATATTTTATGCAAGAATTAAATGCTTTACAACATGAATTATAACTCACCCATTGTAAACTTCGGTGGCAACATGGAATTGAAACCCGACAGTTCTCGTTATTTGCTTCCTAGGTTTCTGCATGCAAGTGCCGGCAGGTAGGCCTGAGAACACACTGCCCTTTGACTTCTAGCATTTAGCAACCGAGAGTTGTAGAATCAACAAAGTTGTAAGTCTCTTCACTTAACCTGTGGTTCTTCTAAAACTATTATCTGAAATCTACAGCATCCCACCATGAAATATTTGGTAAATTTTTGTTGTGACGTGTTGCAGCATGTAAATATCTATAAGTTCTCTGCAATAAAACAGATTTATATGAAAAAGATTGGTGTGTTCATCTATCAGAAATTGAATGTTATTTATCCAACTCACTTTAGAAGGAATTCCATGTACAACGGTGGCATTGGTTCCCTTGTGCAGATGTACCCTCTTGTCCCCTGCATTAGTTACTTTTCTGTTGCTGTGAAAGAAACACTGACCAAAGCAACTTATAAAAGGAAGAGTTTATTTGAGCATATGGTTCCAAAGAGGCAAGAGTCCATCATGGCAGGGAGGCAAGGCAGCAGAAGTGGCTAGAGCAGGAACAAAAGCAGAGAACTCACATTTTCAAGCAGGCACAGGAAGCAAGAGAGCCTGCCTCCAGTGACACGCTTCCTCCAGCATGACCACACCTTCTGAGACCTCCCAAAACAGTGCCACCAACTGGGGACAAAATGTCCAAATACTTGGAGCCTATAGGGGACATTCTCATTCAAACCACTGCATCCTCTATATATAGAAATATGTGGTTTGGAAAGAAAGAAAGAAAGAAAGAGAGAGAGAGAGAGAGAGAGAGAGAGAGAGAGAGAGGGAGGGAGGGAAGTGGTTTGCTTAAGAAAGTTCCTAGCAAATAATAACTACTTCAGGTACCTCTTCCTGTTTACTCAGCACACATACCAGGCAATTTGCAAAGCTACAATGATGTAAAGATTTTAAATAAGGCTACCAAGAATTCTCAAACTTGTGAGATTATCTGGTCAGGGACATAATAATACACAGATGAACATAACTGAGCCAAGGGGCCAAGAAAGGTTAATTAGATAATTTAGACTCACTGGGGTTAAATTCCAGAAAGGCATCAGGTGTGAAAGGGGCAGTTGAAAAAGGGAACTAGGCAGGGCCTTACAAGATGTGCTCCAATTAACTACTGCCTTATCCCAAAAGCTTTAACTGGGGTAGGGTCAAGTCATGTAGTAGAGGAATTGTTTTAGGTTTTAAATGGAAAGGAACAAGAAGAGCTAGACCAGCTGGAAGGCTAGTGTGAGAATCACGGTAAAGTGAGGACCCAGGTGGAAGTGGGGGGAGATTGTTATTTGATCAAAATCACATCCTCAAGTGAGGTTGCTGTTTTGTTAACCTTATGGAAAGTCAAATAAAAATCTACATAATTAAACAATTATGGCAAAGTTCATGTTTGCTGTCATGTGGGCTAATCCCAGAAGCTTCTGTGAGTAAATCTGTAGAGCAGGATCTACTGTTCATTCTACAGGAAACCCTGAAATAACTGGGCTGTGACTGGATGGAGCAGCTGAAAGACCCTGTCAAAACGGACTCAGTTTCTAACTCGAAGTTTGAAGCAGCTCCATAGAGAAAAGCAAAGGTGTCCAGAGGACAGAGGGTGGAGCTGCGTCCTCCAGCTTACCTCCAACCTCCTCTTTCCTTAGGGGCCCTTTCCCATTGCCCCTTTCCTTCTGTTCACACCATGTGCCTTCCATGTTGGATGCACACTTTGAATAGAGTCTGTGACCACAGCCCTTTGAACAGCCCTTAGCAGCTAAACCAAAGTAGCAAAGGATCATTTAACAAGCAATGAAAATCAGGTCTACAGTGCATTCTCTTATAAGAACAAAACAGTCTTTTTAGATTTTGATGAAACTGTTCAGTTGATGGCTCTGGTTTTTCTTTTCTTCATATATTGGTAGTTTTAACCTTTATTTCTTTGTTCTAAATATAGAATCTATTGAGAATTCCTCAGGGGACTATTTCTATCAGAAATTTATTTCATCATACAAAATGTAATAATGTAGCTCTGCTGTTCTAAAATACTGCACATTAAGATTTTCAGTATATTGAATTCTTTTCCCCTGAAGAGTTCTAAGACAGGAACAACATTGTTCCAGTTTGGTTATTTTCTCTTAAAACATTTGTTTCTAGGAACGTGCAGGGGACAAGTTGAGGTACGTTGAATGTTCTATTTCAGTGTTAACTGGTTAGAAAGCAAACAATGAAATGTCTGAATTGGTTTCTAATTTCTCTCTTTTTTCTGTGAAGTGGAAACTGGAAACAGTAAGTTTCCAGAAATAAAGCTTTCTAATCAAATGAAAATGAAAAATAAGAGATAGCCGCAGGATAAGTTCTAAGCTACTCAGTAGTCACAATCCTGGAAAGAAAAATAAATTAAGTACAACTTTCTAATCAAATGAAAATGAAAAATAAGAGATAGCCGCAGGATAAGGTCTAAGCTACTCAGTAGTCACAATCCTGGAAAGAAAAATAAATTAAGTACAAATAAAAGGTTCAAGAAAATTCCTGCAGAACACAATCCCACTTCAGTTTAATCAAGACGAGGAAAGGTAAGAGTGTTCCTTGTTGTGCATAGAACAGAAAAACTATCTTTCTGCAGAGACATATCAGGGACTTTATTTTTCCATGACTTTTGTACTTGTTTTTTGGTCAACCTCAAGTTCTTCCCTTTCTTTTCAGTCTCAATATCTTCTTTGCTTCAAGAATTATTGTATGGTTTATCGCCCAGTGAAGAATTCTGAGAACACAAAAATATTAAAAGTAATCTCTGGATAGCAGTGTGCCTGGCCTGTTCCATAAGACTGGGGATGCTTGGCTCTGTTCAAGGAGCAGCAACCATGCTCCTGTCCTCTGTGGAGCCGGATGGACTCCTCTGTCCTGGCTCTCATCATGAAGCTGCTCGTGTCTCTCACTGCACTAACTCACAGTGTAATTTCATGCTTGCCCAAGTCATGGGTAAGTTTAGGGCTCTTCATAGCCAGAATTTGTTTCATTCAACACTCGATCCCCAATCTCAAGCCATGTACTTTTCCATGAATTCAGTAAATACTTGCCAAATTAAAATAATTCATTTCTGATCACTGTTTAAAATATACATGAGAGAGAAAATCTGAAGAAATTCTAACATGTTCAGTATTAAAAGATCTTCCACACAAAATCTAGCAGTTCCTGGGAAATCCTCAGATTATGACTCAATGTCAGGAATTCTAACTCTCCAGCTTTGTAAGTATTGATGTGCCAACACAAGGAAAAAGAAGCCTAATGCTTCAGCCATGGTCCAGTTTTTCAGAGCTGTAAAAGTCATTTCCACATATCATAAAAGGATGATACATTTAATTAGGCAATAGGAACTAGCTTTTGGCCATTTGAATGCTTTCTGGAAAATTCGGTGTTGGCTAGCTCTATATAAAATATCCACAGGCTCTCATGTGAGGTAACATGTTTTCTGAGAAATGAGATATCTAGTTGAAACAAATAATATTCATATTTGACTGACGAGATTTTCATCCATATGTCCATAAGATTTGCTGTACAGAAATTGATATAGTAGTCATAATATGCATGTTATATAACTATAAATGGTACATGTGTGAACTAAATTATATAGGTTATGTATAAATATATATGCATATCCAATTGGTGATGGGAATTCACTTGGCAACAGGAAAATATATTAAAAGCATCAAATTTTTCAACATAGTGCAGACATTAAAAGATCAAGAATTTTTCTGCCTTTTAAATCTTAAAGTCTTTCAACCTTAAGCTGAATGGTGGATGATCTGACTTGTGAATTTGTCTGTGCTTTCTTCAGTGCTTGTTACATACAGCAAATTGAGGAACTTGGATTTATTTCTGTGGTTCTAAGACCAAATCTGGTGAAGCAATTGGGATGAAGCCAGAGTTGAGGGGTGACCTGTAAAGAAACAAGGTTTTGGTCCACAAGAAAACTGGAGACAAAGTTTTTAAAGAACATCAAGTTAAGAGACTCTGTTTCAGAACCACTTGAATGAAAGTCAATCTGGAACTGTTTTATGGAGCTCTGAAAAGCTGAATGGACTACACAGGTGCACATAAATTCCTTGTCTTATTAAGAGCTAGTAAAGGCTCCAGAGACTCATCTGTTCTTTACCTTTGATGGTCCCCTGCCTGTATAGTCCCCTGCAGCTGTGCACCATGCCCAAGGGTTAGGGGCCCACAAGGCATGGAAAAGTTGAAGCAAGATACATTTTTCTTTCTCTATATGCCTACTTGTTTTCATTTAGTTTCTATGTCTTTTAATGGTTAAGATGTTTAAAAAAAAGAAAGAAAGAAACCCTCAAACACCAATTTTAAAGTAAACAGAAAAAATTGTAAAACACTTTTTGAAAACTATGTGTAAGTTGGGAGAGATTCCATGGATATTTTTTAACATGTGCAAATAGTAGTAAATATTGTTGGGGTGGAAAAAGAAGGTGAAAGAATTCAGCAGTCTAAGATCAGTTCCCAAAATCTGAGTCTGTCATCAGTAGGTTTGACTAGAGATGATCTCTTCAACTTTTCTGTGTTTACATTTGTTACCTGAGGTTTGAATAAGACAGAACCTGATGGCCCTTTAGTTCTGTGATTAAGATAACCTCATGTATGTATGTATGTGTGCACATATGTATCTGTACATATGTGTACATGTGTCTGTGTGTGTGACATTTCAGTTCAGGACGTAATTGCTTTGCGAGAATGTGTATTGCTGAACAAATCCTTAAGACTAAGAAACATTTGCAAATTTAAGATCAGCTAAAGAAGTCACACAAATGAAACGGAGCAGGATTTGATGAACAGCATCTAATCCTCTTTGATTTCTACATATTTTGTGCTAAGATATAATTATAGAGTTCCTTGAAGTTTGGCATGGGAAAGAATCATGGAACATTTGCTTCAAGATGCAAAATGAAGCTGGAGTCAGGCCTAACTGAGAGACAGCTGAGGAAAAGTTTCCTTTCTGGATCCTTCTTTGCACTGTGTTGAATCACAACTGCAACTCTGAAATGAAGCCAACTTGGTCATGATGAATAATCTTTTAGATATAATCTAGAATTCATTTTTAAAGTGTTTTATTGAGATTTTTTGTGTGTTCGTTTGCATTGGTTATTTTTTGTTGTTGCTGTGAGAAAACATCATAGCCAAGGCAACCTATGGAAGGAAAAGTTTATTTGGGCTTGTGGTTCCAGAGGGGTGAGAGTCCATTGTGTCAGGAAGAGGTGTGACAGCCAGCTGCAGGCAGCAG